GAAGAGGCATTTAGATGTAGGCCTATTTACATTATTTAATTCAGCTCAGAGGGACATGAATGGATTTAACCTGCAGTTACAAATGCATAAATAATATTTTGTTATTTTAAACATAAAACATTGAATACTGATATTTACAATTATTTTAAAAACGAAAAGACACTTTAAATATGAAATTAAAACCACCAGTAGGTGGCAGCAAATCACTGTTAATAAGCGAGTCATTGCGATTGAACCGAATCATTTAAACGGTTGATTCATTCAGGAACGAAACACCTTCATGTTGCTCAGAGCCGCAAAACAGCACTGTGGCTGTGTTTGGAATTCTATTTTTGCTGGCGAAATAAAGCAAAAACAGGCAATATAGTGTCTAAAACGTAAGTTTTTTAATATTAACTTCTTGTTTACTGAACTATTGCATAAAATCAGTATCACATTTGTAATCATGCTGATTTTAGAGGTGAAAACTGGCACTCTTCGTGTGATATTGACTAACTTTCTTTCTGTGGTATTTTTATGCACAATGGCGCTTAGTCTTCCACAAAACATAGCTAACGCAGGGACATCATAACTAGCCACCATATTGATTTACGGTCTTAAATATGTCCAGCGAGCACTTTTTTTTTTTTTTACAGTCTATGGTCCTGCGTTTATCGGGTTGTGCGTCAGTAATAATGGTCCGTGGGGAAACACGGTGTTCCGTGTGTAGTTACAGTAAATGGACTAAACGATGATTTTTTGTATTAGAGTTACTCGACGTATTCGAGGAATCGTTTAAGCCCTACTTCATGTTTGTGTCAATATTTCCAAGAACCTGGTTCTGGAGAGATGGGTTCTGGTTATTAAAGACAATAGTCTGTCTTTGGATGTCACTTCACATGCAGATTGGTATGACATTGGAATCCTAAAAGGGGATTAAGCAGTAAAATACAAAGTGACCTACACATTAAACGGAAGGATTTCTGAACAGGTGATTCATATATATAACCTCATATGAGCCACAGAACAATTGGAAATAGTTGTAAAGTAGCAGCAAATCCTCTGCTTATGTTAAACCACTCTTTCCAAGAATTTGATTTTAGAAGGATCTCATTGACAAACAGATGCCATTAATATTTTGTCAACAGAAGTGCTATTGCAATCACAGCCCATTTTGGGTAATGCATGCTGGGTAATGTGCAAGTAACTTTCATGGCTAGCCAAACCATGCTGAAAATGGCTTACCAGATCTCCAGGCTCGGCGAAGAAAGGCAAAGGCAAAGGAAAGAGCTGCTCTTGATCCCACCCTGGCCAAACCCTCCACTCCTTTACTGACTGGCCGAGCACTGAGGAAACAGACAAAAACATTTCGGCCTATTATTTTCATTGCTTCTATATAAAGCAGTTTCAAATGTAATCCAATTTCAATCAAAGCTCTGTTCCTCATACCTTTTGTTAATATCGACGGCAGAGAGTGGAGGGCTGGGGGGACTTTTCCAGCGCACTTTGTACTTTTCCTCCATCATACTGTGGGTGAGTGAGATGAGGTAGCGCTCCAGGATCACCAGTCTCTGGCTCAGGAGCAGAGCGGAGAGTGTGCTCTTAGCCGTCTGTGAAGATAGCTTTTGTTGGTCGTCTACCAGTGCCATCAGACAGTCCTTCAGCTCTCCAGTTTCTGTGTAAAAAAAAGATGAGATATACAAGTAAATAAAATGATAACTTTTTACTTCAGGATTGCTTTTACTTGATTAATTTTATTATTTAGTGTCATTCCAGGTTTCTTTTTTGTGTGTTGCTCTGTATTTTGCGTTTTAATTTTCATTGTTGTGAACCGCTTTGAGAACGCAATTTTTAAAGGCGCTATACCAGATAAATGTATTACTATTATTTTAATGTAGTAAAACAAATGGCAAAACATCCATGTAATATTATCATTTTATTTTTAATCAACTAATAATGATGCTGTATAACAATGTTCGCTGCAATTTGAGTCCTTGAAGTGCATTCCAGTCTAAAGCCTTCATTTTGCTTGCCTGAAACTGTCTGCCTGGCTCCACTGGACTGTTGTTACGGATGTGCATGCATTCAGCTCTTCACAGCCTCTGGATAAAAGCCTCATACAGGCAGACAGGGTGAATTAAAATAGCCGATCTGAAATCCACTTAAGCCTTATGTAAGCCAAGCTGCCTAACCCTCACAGGCCCTGAAGCAGTGTAGTCTGTACAGCAGCACTAAGAGGTTATAGTGCATGGTACTGTGAGAAAAAGAAAGGGTTTGAGCATGTCATACAAAGATAAGTAAAGGAATGGCTTTTACTTCCACATAGCTATTCATTTCGCTTTTAACAAGCTCCCACAGAAGCTAAAAAGCACTTGTTCATTTCCTGCAATTCAATACTATGCTTCTAGTATAGCAGTTGGTGCTGTTATCAGTAAATGTCCTCTTTTTCACCACCACTTTTATTGCTAGAACAATGGAGAGATGACAGGAAATGATAGGCTCTTCTACTGGTCTCTTTCAGGGGCCAGATGATCCAGATCAAAACTCACTTTAACATTTACAGGCTATTTTACAAAAGGAAAACCCAATCTAAAATTCATATATTTCACTTTCAATCTGTGTGAGAATAAAATTGCCATCTGTTCTTTTATTTTACATGAGGAATAAATTTAAAAGGAAAATGAATCTATTAATTTCTCTATAAGCATCCCATTCAGTGAAAAAAATGAGACTTTCTTTGTCCTTCACATTATTCTTTGAATTACTCTACAGTTCAAAAGTTTGGGGTCAGTACGTTTTTTTTTTTTTTTTTAATTAATTAATACTTTTATTCAGAAAGAATTAAATAAATTGATCAAAAGTGACAGTAAAAGACATTCATAATGTTACAAAAGATTTCTCTTTTTTTTTTTATGCTATTTCAACTTTCAATCCATCAATAGAATCCTGAATTTTACGAGGAATACATTTAAAAGAAATTAGTTCAAAGGTTTGGGGTCAGTACTTTTTTTTTTTTTTAAGAAATTAATACTTTTATTCAGCTAGAATGCAATAAAGTGATCAAAAGTGACAGTAAAGACATTCATAATGTTACAAAAGATTTCTATTTTTTTTAAATGCTATTTATTTCAACTTTCTATCCATCAATAGAATCCTGAAAAAAAGTAAAAAAGTTGTCTGCTGTTTTCATCAGAAGACAGAATTATTACATTTTGATAAATTACGATGTTGAAAAATATCATTAAGCTGAGAAACTATTTTTAACATTGATAAAAATAAGAAATGTTTCTTGTGCATGAAATCAGCATATCAGAATGATTTCTGAAGGATCATGTGATACTGAAGACCGGAGTAATGCCTGCTGAAAATTCAGCTTTGAAATTAAAATATATTACAATAAAAACAGTTACTTTAAATTGTAATAGTATTTCACAATAGTACTGTTTTACAGTATTTTTGATCAAATAAATGCAGCCTTGGTGGGCATAAAATACCTAATCTTAATCTTACTGATCCCAAATATTTGAACAGTAGTGTAACTTGGCGTATTAAGCAAATGTTTTTAATTCTGCAGTAAACACTGTTATGGACATAGTATTTTGCAATAGGATGTTATAGGAAATCCTGCTGAGGTGGTGTGTTGGACTGCACCAGCTCTACTACCATGTGATGTTCATAGGGGGCCTATGTGACTTTCCATCAACATGTTCTTATCACTACCCACCAGAAAGCTGCTCCACCTAGACCTGTCTGTAAACACACAGGGCCTACAACCACACACAGGGCAAAAATAACCTCACAGACAGTATGTACAGTCACCCGAGCCCCAAACACCTCACGCGCCAACCAGAAAACACACACACACACAAACCGAAACACATGCAGGGTAACACACACTGTGTGCGTGTCTGCCAGAGAAGGAGTAGGTCACCTGTGTGGTGACAGGGCTGAATAACTGGGCCACATTTAGATGTGGCAAATCCATCTGCTATCCTACATTACAGCACTTTGCTGATGAGAAACTCGGCCAATGGAAACTGCTCAAGGGTTTGCACTAATGGCGCTTTTCCACTGATGTGCTGAGGAGGGAGAACAACGCATGAAGTTGGGGGTGTTGTGTATGATTAGATGCAGGATGACACATGCTGAAGTTTAATACTTAAAGATGAAACGGAAGTAGTAACGTATCTTTTCTTCTGTATTGTGACAGATCGGAGTGAAAAAGATTATTAAAAAAAAAAAAGTATGGTGGGTACTTGGTTCTATGCAATGGTTTTTAAGACGTTAGTGTTGAACTCAAAAATGGAGGGAGATGATGTCAAAAATTGGTCTTCTTTTCAATTTTGTGATTGGTTACAGAAGTAATTTTCTCCAACACTAAACATACCCAAAACACAGGATATGGTCCTCCTTTTTAAAAAATCTAGACGGCATGCAACTAAATAAAATAGAGAGCAAGATGTTGAAAAACGCTTCATTTTTGCACGTTTTTGTGCACGTGGGAAATCCTATGCAGATTAAGCCAATGATGTGTGCGTGGGATGACCGTGCAAGATGACAGTCAGCGGATGCAGTAATCAGCATGTTGAGTTCAGCATTCTCTATTTGAACCCAGAGCATGTCATTAAATATCACCACCCACCTGGCTGCCTCCCCCAGTCCCACATCTCAATGATGGAGTGATGGAAAGATGAAGCCGCCACCTCCTCCTCTTCCTTCTTTTCCTTATCGTTTGTATCATCTTTCTTTTGGGTGCAATCAGCACAGTCCTCTGAGAAGTTGATACATTTTAGAAGTTTAGAAAACTAAAAACCTTTAAGGAAAGAAGCTAACTTCACAAATATATCGTAATCCATTAGGATTCAAGGGTAACATGGCTTTTTACCTGGATGGGCGGATTCTTCTCTGTCAAAGACAATCTCTCCATCCTTCACCATCTCGTTCCACATCTCGCTCAGTCCTTCAGGAGAGAAGGCTCTCTGTAACACAGAAGAGATAATATTATAGCCATATAAACTGAAAATACTGTATATATAAATATATTACTTTATAATGTACATAAAATATGAAAACAAAAAAAAAGTTTAATGTTTTTCTGGTGTGGCCAGTAAAAAAAAAAAAAATTATATATATATATACACACACATTATTTTTGTAGAAACTGCAAGTATTTTTAATTAATAGAAAGTTTAGTAGAACAGCTTTTATTAAAAAAACAGAAATCTTTCATAACAGCTGATATACAAAAATGGCAGAGAAGGCAGTTATCTTTTGGTGACTGACCATTAGCATCTGTAACATTTATATTTCGGCCAACTAGCCCATTGAAATGCCACCAAAGGCTCACTGAGGACTTAGCAATAATTACTGAAATTCAGAGCCCAGACTCAAGTTTGTCTCAAAACGTACTGCGCCATGGTACAACAGTAATACCCATTCTCTCAAGAAAAAAACTCGTAGTCTTGAGCATCAAAAATTAATTGACACAACAGACTTCAAACTGTAAAAAGCAGAGAGACTTTTACAACCACTGAGTTGATGCTAATAACAGCTACAGCACCTTGAGCAATACTCCAGACAAATGTGACAGAGACCCAAACACACACAGATACAAATAAACAGCATTTTGGGGTGTTGATTTTATAAGACATCACTTCACTACTACCAGGAATCAGTACTAAATTCATCCAGTGTTTTAAAACTTAATCTGTTGTACAATTATTCACAGCAGCACATGCATAAAATTTCTGTGTAATCACTTTAATATAGCAATGTACTAGCTAAAAAAGGGTTATTGTAACCCTAACCTAAATTGTAAATGAAACTAATCGCAAACTTGTGAATCAAAATTGAAATGAATTGTGAAATTTGTCTTAATACCCAGCCCTACTTACTGCAATTTTTTTTTTTTTTAAATAAGTAAATAAATCATAAAAAGTCTGTGATTTTTTAAAAATAAATATATGCACTGCGTGTTTCAAAGTGAAGCACTGCTATGCGTTCTTTACACAAACAACGCATGATCTGGTGTTTTCAGTGTCTCAGAAATGGCTTGGTTGGATTCTGCTCCTTATGATTGCACAGTTGTATGGTTTAAATAATAATTTTATTATTTATAATTAATAATATATAATTGTTAATATTATTATTGTTGTTATATTTTCCATATATTCCTTTGCAGTGAATAATACAACAGTAATATTCAGTGAATAATACAACAGTAATATTCAGTGAATAATACAACAGTAATATTCAGTGAATAATACAATAGTAATATTCAGTGAATAATACAATAGTAATGTTTCCTATTTTGTTTCATATTTTATTCAGTAATATTAATCAACAAAAATAACAATAATAGGTATTACAATTATTTTATAGTCATATACTCATATTGCTATACAATCACTCAATCTTTGGTCAAATTCTGCAGTCCTAAAAAACAAGCACAGCTTTATATATACACACACCTATACTTTTGTCTTTAAACTATATATATATATATATATATATATATATATATATATATAAATAATTTGTATACTTCTCACAAACAAAAAGGGACCCAGACAGCTTCTGACAACCTCATAATAATCATAAAATCAGGCCGCATGGGAAGTTTCCCTGTAAACACCAACAGGAGGCCAGAAAAATAAGCATAGAGAGACTTCTGTTCGCTTTAAGAGCTCTGACAGAAAGGCACATTGACAGAAATGCTGTTACCACATTGCTAAGGGAACAGTGTTTAAAAATGCACACAATGCAAGCTTTTCAACAGTTTAAGACCTTAAGCAATACTTTTAATATGCTACTGACCAGAATAAATGATCTATTTCCACTCAGCATCAGTACTCACCGAGAAACAAGATTCAAAAGATTTCCAGTGTCAAAAAAAAAAAAAAAAAAATCCTGCTTAGGTACACACTGCCTGTGTCACTGAACACAGCTAAAAGATGTAAATGTTGACCAACGGTGCAACTAAATAGCTTTCGGATAAGGACTTCAATAAATCCCTGCCCCCCTAAAAAACATCAACACTCTATATTTAGCATCAAGGACTATATATGAACCAATGACCAAATTCATTCCAAAATTTACCTGCAAGTCTATCTTCAGCCATTTGTCGTGGAAGCGCAGCTGGGCATCAAGGGAAAAAGATGGAGACGGCATCCTTCCCTCGGCTGTCCAGGCTGCAGATGCAGCCTTCCCTAAAGAGACACATTCACAGATCAAACAACAAGTTAACACTGTGAAGCTCTGACCAGCAAAACAGATCACGTCATGCTATCTATATCTCATTAAAACAACTATCCCCCCCAGTTTATATTGATTATTTGCATATGGATTTTCCCAAAGGCGCAGTTGTTCAGTGCAGCACAGTCTGTAGTTCAAGATGCAATCCAGCAGTTTCAGATAATTGGGAACCATCTTCATAGCCAAATTAAGAACTATTTATTCATTCCACATTCAGTATAATACTGTTTAAAATTTATCTTAAACATCTAGAAATTAAAGGGATCGTTCACTCCACAACCAAAATCTGCTCTTTGCAAACTTCATATGAATTTCAAGAGTTTTTGAAGAATGTTTCCCATTAAATGCACTGTGTCTGAAGATGTTATGCCTCAAAACGTACCCAAATTCAATATAGTCCACAATATTTCTGTACCAAGTCTTTTCAAGTCATATGATTATATTCGAGGGAGCACAACGCTTGCGTCATGGTACTGTCGTAAACGCGTGTCCAAAGTGATGCAGTAGAGACGAAAATGTGGAATAAAGTCGTTATTTTTGTTTTCTTTGCGCAAAAACGTATTCTCGTAGCTTCGTAACTTTGCAGTTGAACCACTGATGTCACACGGACTACTTTGTCGATCATCTTGGTACTTTTCTGGACCTTGAACGTGGTAGTTACCTTGCTGTCTATGGGAGGGTCAGAGAGCCCTCAGATTTCATCAAAAATATCTTAAATTTTGTTCCAAAGATGAACGAAGCTCTTACGGGTTTGGAACAACACGAGGGTGAGTAATTAATGACAGAATTTTCATTTTTGGGTGAACTAACCCTTTAATGAGGTTTGACATATTTAGTCTACGCCTATTTCACTGCTCAACGCATTCTTCAAAATTTCCCCTTTTGTCTTCTATAAAGTCATATGGCTTTGGAATGACATAAGGATCTGTAGATATTGGCGTATGTTAAATTTTTTGTGTGAAGTCCCTTTACCTTCAAGCGTAAATCAACCTTGAAATGTTAAAATGCGTCTTCCACCTCTTTCCACAGTTCATAAAATGGACAAATGAGCCATTTTAGCAATAAAATATGAAAATAACATTATTCAAAATGATTAAAATATGATTGTGGTACTGTGTTAAAGCATCCACACCTGATCGAACAGGAGAGCATCACTGAAATAATTTATTAAAACAAACTGGGTGTTGGCTTGGTCATATTCTCCTATTCATATCTAATCATCCGAGTCAACATGTAGAGGTGAGTAGAATATTGTTTATTTAATCAACAGATGATGCTGTAATGCTGCAGGTTGCTATCTGTGATCGGTGTGTTGCTGATTGAACTCGGGCTGTCAGCGGCTAGCAGCTAAAATACAGGACGTTCCTAAATACCGACAGCGCTTTGACTTACTATTCTTGAACACGCCACAGCCTAAAATACCGCAAACCAGTTATCTTTTCCTGTCCTAGAAGTCTTTTCGGAATCAACGCATGTTTTACCTGTTTGGATATCTTACTGACTCCTTGCTTCTTCGGTCCTACCACCAGCTTTACAGCACTTTAATGTCGGCCGCGTCGTGTGTTGACTGACAGCATCGGCAGCCAAACAAATGAAGAAGAATCAGATGACGTACAACAAACGGGGGGCGGGACGACGCAAAGGCCAATCACAGGCTGGGATGGACACACATGGAGCACGACGTTCACTAAAATGAAAATTTATCAAATTTCGTTTTAACGTTTTTATACAGTCTATGGTTTTAACGCATAAACTATAATATACAAATAAGTATTTTTTTCTAGGACTTACCTATATGGGGAGTTGAAGCATAATATATGTGTTTTATAATTTTAGGCTAAATTTTCTACAACTGGTCACGATTTTTAGAGTTTTTAATCATTTTATTTCCTTTTTTATTACACTAGGTTCCTTTTTATGATCATGATGTTTGACAAAATAATTCTTAAAAGTACAACTATTCGATATAGTTTCATAATTAATATGAGCTCATAAAATAGCATGAGTAACATTATACAAGAATAAGGAAAATTTTTGTATTTTTTTAAAGGGTGGCAAATTAATTTAGCATTATTGAAGTGTTTTATAAAGTGTACAGGTTAGACTAACTCATGAAATCATGTTTAAAATACTCTTGTTTTGGTTAAAAGAATTTAAAGGAAGCTATTTTTTTATTATTATTGCTTAAATGAAATACAAACTTTAATACCCCCCCCCCCCAA